TTCGTTATCAAACCACGCGCCAGTCTCTTCAAGACCACGAGTAGTACGGAATTCTACAGTGCACATTATCCAGGTTCTACCGCTAACTTGTTTTGTACTTACTGCAGAGAGAGATTTAGTTTTTACAAGCAATCTATTACTACATAGTACACTTGATATAGTTGTTTTAATGTCACGATAACTAATTTTTTCCTGCGAGGTCAAACTTCAAAAATGCTAATCAGATTACGCGTTGTATGCAAATATAATTGCCATCAGTTTATTTGGTGAGGCTAATAGGCAATTCCTTTGAAAACACACCATTAAACTACCTCCTAGACATATCCGAATGGCAGTTAAAAGACGTCAAATAAATATCCGTAGTTATCAGTTACATTATTCAGAGTTTTTAAGTTTTTTATCGAACTTGGAGGACTGCGAGCATAAAGGGAACGTTTCTGCACCCATGCATGCATGGTGCTGTACATGGTGTGATAAGCAAATGGGTATTCTTTGGCAGCTTTATCTACTGAGCCGGTAGCCATCGTTAGATTAGTTGGGCCGTGTCGATGCGTCGACAAGCTCACGGCACGCTCACGGGCAGCCGTGCCTGAAATAACTGCGATTCCGACCATGAGAAGCCCTTTGGACGCTTTCGCGGTTGAAGTGTTTTAGGATAGCATCTTTGCTGGGGTTTTGTGGACAAATGTTAGCAAGCGTGATTGTGATTTTCTTTATAACTTATACGTCCTTCCGAAAAACTTCGATATTAGAAACAGGCTGTATGTTTTCCTGTGTTGCAGTTTCGTCAGTTTGCATTGACTGTCCCCAATTTAGAAGCTACATAACTTGTGTATACTCTACATAAGATCTATGCTTATTCGTATCCACCCTTTGAGCCGGAGCAGTTGAGCAAACGGTAAATGGTTTCAGTTAGTAAATACGTGCGTTCTAATCAATTATTCTGCCCTCAAGCTAGTCATGTGTACCACTTTATAGTCAGCCGATCGGTAATATGGTAGGTATTAGGAAACTGAGATGCATCTAGCAGTCTTTCACTGCATGGCACTAAAAATCTAATTTTAAATCTTGAGAGTTTGCGAGTTATTTTTCAAGTAACTGCTGTTATTGTTTGCTTGACAGCACTTAACCTTTTCGAGGCCAGTATTTTACAAGAAAAAATTGTGACTATCAATATGTATTTAAGTGCAGCGATTTTGGAAACAAGATAACGTTATCGGGGTCAGGGAGAAGCTCAAATGATAATGAATATTTCCATCGCCACAGTGCATATGAGTTGACGAGTACAACATGGTGCAGATCAGTGGTGACAGAGAGCAGTTTTTTCTGTAACATTGATAAGCCATACTTTTGTTTCCGTTTTCCTTAAAAAGGTGCGTATAAAAAGGAGCTCAATGCTTTTAATGTTAACTAAAATCT